CATCTTTGCATGGTCTTGTGTGTGTGGAGGCAGGAGCTAGAGAGAACAGGGCTCGTGTCCCGGGTGTGTTTTCCCTACGGAGCTACTAAGGTACATCTATTTTTGTCGCGCTTTGTACTTTTAACTCTGAAGGCAATCTAGCGGGAACCTGATTTGTTTACAGAAGCACCTTCCCTGTGAATTCTTCAGGAAATGTACAATCTGTTTCATTGCCCTTCGCTGTGTTTGCTCGGAGACCTTGTCCCCGCCAACCCTTCCTCCCCCCTGAGGCCTTCCTCCTCTCTGAGGCCAGAGCAGGGCCCATGTTACAGGGGCTGGTGTCGGCTGGCAGAGCTGGAAGGTGCTGGCCAAAGCGTTGCACTGCCGGCAGCTCAGGGAAGGTTCCTAGCGGAAGCACGGGGAGGGCTGGGGAAATAGGATCAGCTGGTAATGTGGTATGTCTTCTCTCGCCGCAGCTATTTGCAGCAAATAAATGAGTCATCTGCTCTTCTGAGGGGGCTGAGAATCTATAGCTGTGCCACAACGACAGAATGCTGATAGTACATGACACAATGTATTTTTCCATCGAAGGACCCTTTTTCCATTGCTTAGAAGAAAGTTTTGATTTACTTCCTCTCCGCTCCAATTTTATTGTGTTTTTATGATTGACAGCAGCTAGTTACCTTATAGTGCATGCAGCAGGGCTCTGAGCTAAACTGCACCTTTCAGCGTTTGCATTTTGATACATATATAATATGTTTTTATATATATTATATAGGTATTCTGGATCTGTTTTGCATATGTTAATGAGCAAGTGGTGGAACTGGTGGAGCTTTGTTGTAACTGTGATGGGAGTTTAAAAGGTGCCTGGTGTTAGAGGTGGGAAGAAGGCGTGAGCTCAGGCCAAGAATTAAATAAGAACCCCTTTTCAAAGCTGGTTTATTCCTGCGGTTTGCACACCTTCCTCTCCATAAAGTCTGACTTTTTAAAACTGTTTCCCCCTCCTGCCCTTCATTACACTGATACTTTTAAAGTTAACAACCACATTCTTGCTTTGTAGACTTCATTTTTCTCATCCAATCAGCTGCAAGGCTACAACTTGCTGCAAGAGACAGTGTCCCTTTTAAAGTGCTGAACTGATTAAAAACATTGACCTGATTACAGTAAAACTGTTTGTGCTGCAGCTGAATCTATTGCTAACCGAGAGGGAGCTAAACTTGGTTCAGTAGAGCTATCGCGAAACAACCAAGAGCTTTGAAATTGGATTTTTTTTCTTAGGTGTAGCTGTCTCCCCAGTGCAAGAACACTTCCTCCAAAAATAGAAGGGCAGTTAAAAGACCAAAAAGATGATATTTTTATAGTTCTATTGCACTTACTTAAAATATTTTTGTTTTGTCTTGCACAAAGGCCTTCACACAAATCTTAGAAACACCTCTTACTTAGTGCTTGGTTTGCATTGTGTGAGAAGCTCCTACCAGTTTCAAAAAAAGCTTTTTTTTTTTTTTTTTTTTTTTTTTTTTAATTGAGAAAATGAAGTGTGTTAGATAAAACTGCACAGAAAAGGAAAAACTGTAATTGCATATTCAGCTCTATTTGAATATATTCTTTTGTATGGTTTTCTTTATGCAGAGAGTTTCCTTTACGAGAAGGAAAATCAGTGTACTGTTTTGCTGTTGTAATAATGGTTTGCTAACAAAATAAATAGTCTAAAAAAAAAAAAAAAAAAAAAAAAAAAAGCCTGCAAATTTCAAGACAGCTTGGCTGAAGCACTGCAGGCTCCTGCAGTCCGTAGGAGTCTGTGCAGATTTGCTTTCCCTCAGATTTCCATACAACTGTTGCCTTCTGCAAGGCATCCTGTTGCAGCAAACTGCTCCTTGGATTGCTCTTTTGGAACATTTTGACTATAGGCGTTGTCAGAGAAAGAAAAAGAGCTGATGGGAAACAGACTCTAGAGGGAACAGATTGTGAATTTTGTTTACAGCATCCAATATTTGGATTTTTTTTTGTAAATAAAAAGAAGTTATTTTTTTCTATTGATTTGTGTCTTCTGTCTTCCGTGTCTGAAATAGCTCTGGCTTGCTCCTGGTGAATACCAACTTGCTTCCATCAAAAAAGGGTGAGAGCAGCACTTTGCTGGGAAGAGCAGCATTGGGCTGCTTTCTGATGGGAGCACAGTCCATTATGGGAACTTTGCTCAATTCCAATGGGCTTAGTGAGCTGCAGAGAAACCTCCCCACCAGCACCAAAACCAGTGTAGTGCTTGTCAGGCTGTGTTAAAGCTCTGAAGCCTAGCAATACTCCCGCTGTCTTCGTGGTTTAGGCAGTGTGACCAAAATTTCCTAGTGGTGCCTGGTAGTTCAGGATGGTGAAGCACCCTGCTGGCAGCCACACAAAGGTCCTCGGTGTTTCAGCAGCCCTGTAGGGCTAGGGGTGCTGCTCCCTGAATAGAAATATGGGCCCTATTGTAGCAGAAGGCCGAACACGGCAACTTGGGAGCAGGGATTTGCCTACCCACTGGATACAGCTGCTGAATCAGTCCAATTCTTCCCCAGACTCAATGTTTGCTCTCCTTGCCTGCCCTACAGTGCTGTCCTTGTCAGCAGAGGTATTTGCTGTGTTTACAGGGGAGATGCTTCTGTAATGAAGGCTAATTTCCTCCAAAGGCACTTCAAGGGAATATAAAATATTAATTTACAATGCTCACGGCAACACTTTTTAAACCAGGGTGCCTCAGTCTGGCACTAATTTGAAAAACATCAACTAAGACTCTGCAGTATGCAGTTTTTACTGGCCTCATTCATTCAGGGCTCTGGGCTTGGAAGACTTAGCACCGGCTAAGTGCTCGCTTCAATGTGCTTATTGTAATGATGAGTGAACCTGTATTCCCCCAGAAAAACAAACAAATAAACAAGCTGCTAGACTGCTCATTTATCGCGGCACAGGAGCAGCCCCCTCACCCAGCACTGGGCACTTGCACAGTGTCTCCTTTGAGAAGCCAGCCGGCTGAGGCTGAGTGATGCAGCCGGAGGAGGACACGGTCGGCATCCTTACCGCCCTGTCCTTCCATGGTGCTGCCAGGAAGGCAGGAGGACGTGGCCCAATGCTTCCTCAGGCTAGCTTGCTCAGTTCTGAAGTATTTTAGGCAGTCTGGCAGAGGTGCCTGCAATGCCTGAAGACGCAAGTGGAAATTGGAGGCCTGGAAACCATCTAAATTCAAATGTCTTTTGACATTTGTCTCTCAAAGCCCAAGCCTGATTGGATACTCTTACCTTCAGAGTTTCTCCATGGCTTTTTTTTTCTCTCTCTCTCTTTCTTTTTTTTTTTTTTTTTTGTGAGGGGGAGGGGACATGAATGCCAGCTGAGTATTGAGAATGTGGAGACTCCACCTTTCCCAAACAGAGGAGGAATACGATATATGATGAAGACAGAGCCAGCTGAATGCTGTGCTTTAGTAGGTTGGATTTTTTTTAAGGAGGGAGGAGCACTGGTGACCGCAGAAGGGGGAAATCAGAATGAGGGTGTGAGACCCTTAATCACCTGACAAGCCACGTCAAAGGGAGACCATGTTAACAGATTAAATTAGGAGTCAAGAAATGGCTCAAATCTTTGTGCTCTGCTAAAATGAACATAATCAGAGAAGCTGTCACTTTGAAAGATAAGCAACGGTCTGCAGGGTTTTTTTTGGCTGAAGCAACACATTTTTATTTTATTGCTTTTGAAAAAGAAAAATCCCCAGGAACCTCTTTGCCCAGGAAAGAAGATGAGCATAGTCTAAATCAACCCTGCATCCTCTAGTAGATATATGTGGAATCCCTGAAAGGCAATAAGTAGATAATACTGAGTTCAGTACTATAAACCTGCTCTTGGGAAACCCCCATGAAACCTCTGCTGAGATTTTTGTAGTACAGTCGCATAAGCTTTGTTCCCAAGTGTTTTTATGGATCCAGACATACCTTCCTAAAACTGCCACAACTTCCTCCCTTTATATTATTTATTTTTAGTAAAATTAAATGCAAATGGTTACATGCTCTTAGATAGAGCACAGTCTATATCTGTGAGCTGTTGCACTGAGATAGTAGTATCCCTTCTTGGAGATCTTTAAAAACTGCCTCAACATATTCCTGAGTAGCCTGCTCTAGGTGTCCCTGTTTGAGCAGGTATTGGAGCAGGTGAACCCGGAGGACCATTTGAACCCAATCCATTCTGACATTCTGTGATTACAGCTAGTGTAGTTTTGTAGGAAAACCTTCAACTTCTACAGAAGCATGTTAGAAGCAGCTCTGTGTGCGGGACCCTAATCCTTACATATGGAGCAGGAGAACAAAATCAAAATCTGCATTTTTAGACAGGAAATGCTAACTCTTCAAAGGCCTACTAAAACATGAGGAACAGACTCATCTCCAGTATAGCCTTTGGCTACAAAAATGATTGTTTTATGGATGTGCAATTCCACCATTTCATGCTGGGCTATTTCACTAGGACATGCAATGCAAGTACACGTCAGAAAATCTTCCTTTTTTTGTTGTTTTGGTTGAAAAACTTCATCCCAAATACGCACTTAAATATTGTGCACAAAACAGTTATTCTTGAGGATTAAAAGTTCCCTTAGATTCCTGTAACAGCTTGACAGACATAAATCTCTTCTTGTCAAGAGAGTAGTAGGACTAAACATGCTCACCCTTCTTTTGGATTTGGAGGTTGATAACTCTTTTGGATGAACTGTTCTCCTGATTATTAAGTTTGTCTTTCTAAGCATGGAAAAATACAGAATGACCAGAGCTTTAAAAAATAGAAACCTCAGTGTCTAAACCTACACAGGCCTATCTCTCTTCAGCTTCTCCCATGCAAGATGTAGAACTGAGTCCTTTCCAAAGTCAAACTAATGCAAAGATAGTTGCTAACTTATAACTATGTTTTGGAGACATCTAGCTTATTGATTCTGGTGTGTATGTCTAGTTACCCTCCTGCCATTTGAACAAAGATGATGGGAGGGGCCTGAAACAGGAAGTCAGAGGTTCCTGATGGAGATGTATATAGCTCTGCAACACTCTTCTCTCATTTACCTTCATCAGCGAAGTACTTTAAGAGCACTCCTGTATCTGCAGTGATCACATGGCCTCCTTTTTCACTGTAATTCCCTTGATTGAGTCTTTCCCTCAATCCAGGGCATCCATGGAGTTCCTGCAGTGCTTTCTGATGTGGAAAAGTAATTGCAAGGTAATCTTTCTGTAATTCCAACTGTTCTTAATTCAACTCAAACTCTGAGGAAAAAAAGGTAAAAACACGTTTTTTTTTTTTAAGCTTGTTTTTCTTGAGTATTTTCTCTTGTTCTCCCTTCTCTGTTGCTGTTCTTTGCATGTTTCTATGTTGTCTTTTCATCCTGATTGTTGCATCAGAAATGGAGAGGCCAGCAGTGTGAGCTCTTCAACTTAGCAGTAGTTCAGCTGCTGCCTGGAATATTAGAGCCACTGACATAATGTCTATGCTATATGATTTGTTAGCTGAGATTCAGTAACAGGTGTGTAACATATCACTGTAAGTAGAGTTTCTGGGTATCCTGCGAAATGCTATTGAGACATATTTGAGATGAAGTTTTCAACTTAGTTCCTCGTAACACAGGGAGTTATGCATGCAGGCTTGTACAAGCAGTTCCTCGGTCATTTCAAGAAGTGCAGGGCAGGGTAACAGTTAAATGAATTAAAGATTTAGCAGATCAACAATTATGATTAATGGAGAAAAAAGTATGCTGCAAGGTACTTGTTGGAAATACCAATATTCAAACTAGAAGAAAGTACATTTCTTACTCAGCTTTAAAGATTCTCTCTGGGTTGTAGGAGGTTGTTCATGCACTGCAAAGCAAACACTGGGCTTTGTCTTAAAGTACATACTAGAGAAGCATATACATTTAATCCTCCTCACTCTGTGCTTTTTCATATAGAAAACAAAGAGTACATAATAATACTCTGCTTTGTGATAGTGATGTGAACTACGACTTGACTGATTTTCATAAAGGCTGTTTATAAATAATACTATAAATGTCAGCCAGTGGTGGAAGTGAAACTTAAGAGCTTGGGCCTTACCTCTTGCCAGCTGTGAAATGCTCTCTTTCCTTTTTTATGGAACTGTAAAATTGAATTGCACATTTTTTTTAGCTTTCCAACATGCTTTTCATTTCTTCCCAGCCCTCTGCCACCAATGATGTCAATTATTCAAGGCTGGGTTTTCTCATCTGCCAGATTCATTCTGTGTCTGTGTGAGCCAAAGTCACAGTCCCTTGTGGGGATTTGCAGAGACATTTGTCCTGTGTACCGGGAACTTGGGGAGTAGCATCTGCTTTCTTGCAGCCAACATGTGTCTTCATGTCTTTCACACTGCTTAAATTTATTCAAAAATCATAGAAATCCCATTAACTTGAAACTTGTCAAATTTCATCCACAACTGAGACAGCCTCATTTTTGTCTCCAGGGTCTTAGAGATGTCATTTGCCTTGTGCCATTTGCTGAGGGAGAATATCTATTTTATATCTGAATGAAGAATGCAGCATCTGCCTTGGATTGTGTTATTGCAGTCATTTGTATAAAGGCGACTCATTAGGCAGTGGAGACTTTGCAGGACTGGGCTGTTGGCCACCCCAGCGATGGCTTCTTCTCCTATGAGGAGAGGAAAAAGGGCTTTGGGTACTGATGAGGAACTACTGACCGTCTTTCTGGCACATGCTCTCACAGTATTGGAGAGGCTTTACACTGATCAGGATATACTTATTTTCTAATGATTTTGGAGTAGTCATGACTGCTGCAGGTCTCCTGATGTATTTACTTGTATTTTGGTTAGTTACAATACACATTACCGACCAATACGTATGTAAGTATTGTTTCAAACAGATCCTCTGTGATCAGGTGATATTTTGTATAAGAAGTAGAAAGGTGTTCAGCAGATGTTCTGTACTGCCAAAAGCTTGCTTTTCAAGCTCTGAGTCTTTCTTATTGGGTGGCAATCCTCTGTCCTCTCAGAAATGCCTTCCCACAGCAATAAGAGCATCGAGGAGTGATGGAATGATGGGAATGATCTGATGGAATTCAGACTGGTGCAACAGGCTCCTGAGCTAAAGCTGCTGGGACCAACAGAGTTTTGCTGCGGATGAGGTTGCAGCATCCACCCCAGCACTCATAGAGGCATGCACACAATGCAGATTCGGTAGCTGCTCTTGACCCTAGCACTACTTGCTACTTCTTTGTTGTTGAATGTTTGCACTGCAATAGCAACTAAAGGGCATAACCAGGTTAGGACCCATTGTACAAGGCACTGTGCAAACAGTCGTGTGCAAGTCCCTTTCCTTAGAGCTTCTCCATATGGGGATTTCAACATCCTCTGTATTTTTCTTTACATTTCTCACTGTAAGTCAACTTGTTTGCTTAAAGTAAGCTCTTGCTTCTCTAAAAAATGGGGCATAAGAAAAAATGTTTCCAAAAATGGGACATAACAAAGAATGTTTCCAAAAGAGTCAATTTTCATGGAATATTATTGATTTCTGTATGTTTGTTCACTTGCTAAGAGTATTGTATCAAAGTCTCAGCTTGCCTTTGCTCATGGCTGAAATAATTTGCTCTCTTCAAAAGCTGTGTTCTTGATGCAGTGTATCTGTATAACTGAGATCTGAAATCAGTCTTGTTTCCATATAGTCAGTGCTGAAACAGATACATTTTTTTTCCCAACTATTGACTGGCAATTTCTTCAGGAAGTGAAATGAAACAACTGTTGAGTAGCAGTGTGTAGCAGTATCGTATGACTCCAGAGCCATGAGTTACAAACGCGTTGAAGAAATGGAGCTTGTACATTGCACCTCTTGAAGCTGAGTTTCCAAAAAGTGAGTGGGTCTCCTGGCAGGAGATAATGCTTTTTCGTTTCTATGAAGGTATTACCAAACTATTATTATTATTATTATTTTAGGCTGTCTACCAGAAAAGTGCATCAGGCTCAGGGGTTTTCTTAACAAGATAAACTCCATGTTGCAGGGCTCCCTCCACTAGTTGGTCAGTGAATCCCCAGAATGTATACTGACGTAAATCCAGAGAGCCTCAGCCCTGACAGCAGGAAATCATTATCCTGGGACACAGTTTTACTCAAACTGTATTACCTCCTTAATATATCAAATTGCAACATTCAGAAAAAATCTTGATATACTAAGCAGTTTATAGACAAAAGTTGTCAGAAGATGGGTTTAATGGCAGCAAACCACTGTATATAATGAGGTTGAGGGGAGGGGAGCCTAATTACAGCTCTCTCTGTAATTCAATAGAATAATTTGAAACTCAGCTGTAGGCCTGTGACTGTAGTGGTGCCCGCAGGAGCCATGTGCTGTGGTTACTGAGCAGTCTATGTTTCCATCTTCTTTGCCTGTTCTCAGGGTCTTGGCTGTAAGTCACCCATCAGAAACTGGGTGAGTCCACATGTGGTTCAGACCCACAAAGAGCAGGAAAGTCAGAATTAGGGTTGGAATACCCCATTCTGCCTCCCCCGTGAGGCTCTTGATGGTGCTAGCAGGAAGGTCTCTGGCCTGCAGCGATCTTCATGCAAACTGTACATCTTCACAGTATGATTGCTAGTTAATATGAGGTCTTTCTGTGAGATGTAATTCCCTTTCTCTATCCCAAATAAAATATAATGTAGTAAGAGCACTGGCAAAAGTTTGGCTTATGTCTCTGATGTGATAAAGATTAATGGATATTTTTCCCTGAGAGCTTGGCAAAAAATATAGGAACATATTAGAATGAGAACTTTACTTACTTCCTGAAAGACGTATGTATTTCTAAATGAGTCCATTTGGTAGGTGTAGTTTAAATAACATGACAGGAAAGGCCAGAATGATAACCTTTCTGGAAAGTATTTCAGAAGTTGCTTACTTTGATTATGCAGTAGACAGAAACATTCACATTTATGAAGGCTGGGATTGTATATATTTAGTTTGCACCAATGATTTTAGATTTAAATTTCTTCTAAACATACTAAAAACAAAAACTGGCAAATCTAACCAAAACCCACTAATTTTCTGGGAAGCAACTGCTTTGCTAGTCATTAACATGGCTATTTCACCACAATGTCCTTCTCACACTAGTGTGAACTGACTGCCCCAAAGCACACAAATAGGGTTTGGTTCAGAAAATGTGCAGGCTGGGGATGTTGTCCATCCTGTCCCTTTTGGTTTGAAGGATGTGTGTAGTACAGAGTGCAGCTTGATTGGTTATTTTCCCCTGAAACCCCCCTGCTGTGTGGCCAGAATCCATCCTTGGTGTCAACAGCCTTTGCAGGACACTGGCAAGCAGTGCCTTGAGTAAGCATGTCCAGGCAAAGGGAGACCATGCCAACCTTTTGCTTACAAAGAGGAGCTGAATTTCAATGGATCTGTAGGAAGAAATTGGTTGTTACTTGGTGGAAGTATGGATATGGGATTTTGTACACTGCTGTTGATGAGACCTGAGGTGGCCAGGGATTTTAGTTAACCTGCCTGGGCTCTTTTATTGTAACGAACATATCAGAAATTTGTGATGGTCTTTGAAATTCCAAAACCTGTACTGAAGGGAAACTAGGATGTGTTCTAAGAAGAAGGTCAGAGACTGAGAGAGAATCAAAGGTTGCATCACATCTCCTCTTTGGTCTATGTTCTAGCAGATACATGGGATGCCCTGTAGCTTTATCTTCTTGTTTTCAGTTCTGCAACCATGTCCTAGATTGTGTCAGGCATAGTCCCAGGGACAGGCCTCCATCTGGCTGCTCATTTTTTTCAGCAGTCCTTTGATTTCTGAAGTAGGTCCTTTTTCTCCTTCAAAACTCCACTCCTTCATGCCTGGCTCACACTACTCTCCAGCAGCTGTCCTCATTTTTTCTGATCTTGGGTTGTCGAGGCAGGAGCTCCACCTGCTTTCAGATTAAGTGACTAGAGAAACTGAAAACCTAACATCTCCCTTTGACACTCAGCTAAGGTCTTCAAAGGAATTGGAATGTCCCCTAGCGTGCAGAGAAAGACAGCGACCAAAGGAGGCAGAGGTGGTCTGCAATGCTGCAGAGCCCAGGTTCTTAGATGCCCCTGAGTCCCCTTGATTGTGGCTGGCCCTTGCCAACAGTGTGGGTGGTAGAGATGAGTAAGTCTAGAGCTCAGCCAGAAAAGCCTATTTAGGTTCTGGACGAAATTTGTAAAAGTTGCTGGGGAAAGGAACTGGTTT